ACACTTCAGTCATTTAAGAGGTTGTACAAGGGCTCCAGGTAACAGTTATACAACAAAAGTGAAAGCCTCTTGCAGCGGCTATAGGACATTTGCGTCAGTGCAAGATTCAGTTTTTGTCAACTATACAACTATTCTGTTACGTGATTCTGCTTTATTGCAAACAAACTATTTCTTATGTATTGTATAGACGAAGAAGAATATATAACTAACACGCTACAGTCATCTTGTTTACTTACATATCGGCCATTGTGAATTTCATACACAGGTATATGATTAACTTCTACACTGTGATATAGGGCTATTGAATTACTTGCGCAGCAAATTTTATTGTGATTATCGTGCAAATTAGTTACGCAATTTCTACGGGCTTCGTATTTGATTTATATTTTGATAATGATCAAAAGTATGTCTAGATTTTTAAAATGGACAACTGAACTTATCTGCGTTAAATCTTCCACAAATCCTATATTTAGACACAATTACACTAATGTTTATCACTTTATATCTGTAATTTCGAACTGAAACATAATTATTTAATATTAAATAGAGGAATAAATGTTTTCCCAATATGGTGGGTGGTTGTGTATAATCATGGCATCGTCCATGTTGTCTTTAAGTTACTAAAATATTTTGGTGTTGCCTGCAGGTTATACAACAATTTGACAAATGTCTGAAATGAAATACCGGCAGAGTCGAATGACTTACCCAGAATTTGTACCAGATCTATATCTTCTGTTTGAACAGTTGATAAAATATTTTGAACCAATATGCATGGGTTGTTTGTCTTAAAACAATCGTTATGGCATTTTAACAAAAATATGACAGCAAAAAGTTAGGTTATGGTGAAGTACACATATTTAGCATATGTACACACAGCCTTTAACAGTTACTAAACAACAGTTGTATAAGGGCTTCCGTTGGGAGCAATTTGTTGGCTAAAGTAGTAAATTGCACAGCAAAACAACAAGGCTCGGGTTTGTTATATAAACGTTACCATGGATGCCACAACACAACCATTTTGACTAACCTGCAAATATGCCATATAAAATAGTTGTATAAACGTTCATGCAACAGTTAAAAATTTGCCCTATATGGTGTTGTATAACTATACTATACGAATATTTTAAACACGTCACTTTAGAGCACATATGTTGCAGAAAGCAAATTTGCATTCCACACAACATTTTGGTGTTCAGGCAACCTCGGGACCTCGGTTGGCCGCGTGGGTCAGAGTGTCGTGCTACTGATCAGCCGGCCGGCCGGGCCGCGAGTTCGAATCTCGCCTTCGCCATGGATGTTGTGTGTTTGTTTTAGGCAGCAGCGGTGGCCGCAGTAGTAGACCCTTCGGTCTCCTGATCAGCCGCCGTGCGCTGTGCGGGTTCGAGTCCCGTCCCAGGAGAAATGTTTCTCTTGGCCATGGATGTTGTGATTGTCCGTAGGTGGTAGATGGTCTCTGACTGTCGAACGCGGAGGTACCACCCGGCGGTTCTCGTAGGCGGAGCCAGAATGTGTGCATGTTGCATGCACACGTGTTCCCTCGCCAGAGTCCGTGTGGCGTCCCCCCTTTCCCATGTATCCCCCATAGCCCCACGGTACCCAATGGGTGCTTAGGCCTTAGGCCTTCGTGGTAGTTGGAGTATAAAAAAAAAAAAAAAAAAACAACAATGGAGAGCTTTTATGGCTGAACGGTTGTTCTATTGTTGTGTCTATTCATGATGACATGTCGAACAATACTGAAACACAAAATGTCAAATTAGTTGCGCCATAAACAATTACAGCCACACCAAAAAAGTACCTCTAAATGAATCACCCGTTAAAATGAAATCTCCAGAAATGAAATATTCGGTTTATATTGTTTATACTTTCATGCCGAGTAGTTCTATCGGTGAAGAATTGGATCTAAAATGAATTCCACATCCAGTTTCAAGGTATTTTTCCCTCATAAAAGATTTATTGAACAATAAGAAGGTGTCAGGCATTCGACGCGTTGGCAGGAAAATATGCATTTGGCGCATAACTTTCGCACATTCCGCGTAGTCCTGGAGTCCTTATTAAAGAGGGGAGAGACACGAGATATGACTCGTGCATTATTTATAGGTATTACAGGTCCGGATTCCATTTCTTGCTATTAAGGCTAACTTGTGAAAACTCCGACATGACATGAACAGCTCGAATAATACATACAATAACATATTCTTGGCTCTGCAAAATAGAAGAAATACGTAATGGGCTGAGAAGTCCAAGGTATATACTAATTATCATTTTCATCCTCGAATTCTTATAAGGAAGCTTATGTAATTTAACAAAATAGGCCGTCAATGCTCCCGATATTGAATGCTTCAGATGTACAAACTCTCCTCCTGAACACTTGTTTTAATATTCTGATTAATCTTCCTTGCATACTTCGTACAAGACGAATTTAGTTGTCTCTTTATCTTTGCTTTTTCAGTAACATTATGATACGTTCGAACATGATTTTTTGAGACCATTTGGAAAATTTTACACTTGCATATTTTCAAAAAAAATAAATTTGGCTAGCCCATTAGAGCGTATGATGGCGAACCAAAGGCACGCGTGCCATTGATGGCACGCTACACAATATTTTGGGCACGCCACCAGTCACTAAATCATTTTGCATTAAGAGAAAAAGTGTAAAGTAGGTAGGTATTTATTTTATGATGAGCGAACGCAAGTAGGTAGAGGTCGTCCGCCGTGACCGTTACACTATGTGTATGCGCAGAAGACAAAAATTAGAGCAGCGGGAAGAATATTATCCTAATCGCAAATATCGACTTTTCCGACGCACCAAGTATGGCATTCTGCTTTGAACATCCGAGAGAGAACTATCGGTACTCATTGGCGTGCGACTTTAGATTACTATTTTGTTAAAAAATATATGAACGATTTAGATATACACGAGACACCAGACAAAGAAAGAGTTACTGAAGAATTTATTTCTTTGATTGATTATCTAATCAAGGAATTTTCAGTGAGATTTACGCAGTTCAAAGAATTATCGGAAATAATCAAATTTATTATGTTTCCTGTCGTGACGTCATTTAATAAATTGAACTGGTTGGAAATCGAAGAATTCGAAAGACAGCTGATTGATTTCCAGTCCAGTTCAACATGGATTCAAAAATTTACTGAAACAAGTTAGAAAGTTAGAACTAATCGAAACAGAAAGATTGATAATTGATATAAGTGAAAATGCTAATAACAAAATTTTGGAAACGTGCAATGCATTACCGGACATATTTAACTGTTTGAATAAGCTGGCTGATGCTATATTAACGATATTTTCGTCTACATATGCTTGCGAGTTATTATTTTCAGAAATGAACAATATTAAAGACTCGGTTAGAAACCGTTTAACAGACGAATGCAGTTCAGCAAGCATTCTGATAAAAGTAACATCTTACAAACGTGGTATACATTATTTATCATCTAATCTGCAACAGCAGAAGTCAAACTAATTTTACTTTAACTGAAATTACGAATTTAATTGAAACATTGCAAAATGTACCTTTTTTTAGCAAATAAAGAATTGACAATATTTATTATTATTACTTTCCCAGAAATTACGAATTTAATTGAAACATTGCAAAATGTACATTTTTTTGAGCAAATAAAGAGATGATAATATCTATTATTATTTTCACAAGTCAAAATTATAAGATTATGACCTCATTAAACATTTCTCTAAAAAATGGCATGTTGATGCATAAAGGTTCGCCTACCCTGTCCTAGGATATACTACATGGTTGTCCTTGAAAACTCAATCTCCACCGAAAGGAAATTATTATGCAAAAAGATATATAATTCATGCATGCCTGGTAATCACTTATACAACAAGAAATATGTATTCCGACAACTTATTTTTTTTTAAATGAAGATGCATTGTTTCACAGACAACAGATGAAAGAGAATATTCCAACGTTTTATAACACTTTTGATGCAGGTAAAGTGTGAGGTTCAGCATAGATGGAGTGATTGACAAGTTTATGAAATATTGATTTGGTAGAAAGTGGTTCCTATAATGACACCAAAAGCTCGTTTTTATAATCGCCAGTTTTCCTACAGGGTGTTGAAGTTATAATTTCAAATGCAAAAAAAACGAATCTTATCTTTGGGATTCCTTTGTACGTGTGGTACTAGCAATATTAATAATAATAATAATAATAATAATAATAATAATAGTAATAATAATAAAAAACTTCTTCATTGTCTACTGAAAGATTTCAAAATGAAAGGATTTATCTAGACAAATGAAATAAACAAACCTTTGACTTACGTATATCCTACTTGTTAACCTGTTATAATGCGCTAATAACGTACAAATAATGCTTAAGTACTAGCCTAAATTTTCGTGTCAGTGATTGTTTAACTTCTGAAGACAGTGAGCTAAGATTCGCGATAGTTTGATACGTAAAACTTGTATGAAAAAAGCTATTTGAGTGAGAAGGCACGTCTAGAGACAGTTAAACTCTTATGTGTGAAGTATGAACGTTTGATCTAAAATGTATATAATTTTGTCATTAAGGTCGAGCATCCCTTTTCTGTTTTCTTTTTCAACAACTTGTTTGCAACAGTATTCTAAATTCTTTTCATCTGTATACGAGTAGAGATGACTAAAAAACAATGTTATCAATTTTTTGTGGATTTCATTGTGCATTTTTTCTCCAATCGTAACTGGCCAACAAATATTAGTACAGCCTTAAAATTGTGTGTTCTCTTCAAAATATCTTTGCTTCTCTTGAAAACTGCAAAATGAGGTTTCAAGTAAGTCAAAGATTTTTCGATGAGAAAATGTGTTAAGCATAAAAGCAATCACGCGTTTTATTATTCCATAACCGTGGAATATCCACATACAATTTTAAAGCTGTATAAACATGGGTTATAAGATCGATGCCTCGAGATCGATTTTTAAAAAGTTTATTTTCGAAAATACAGAAAATCAAAAATGTTCTTATTCAAAATTATTACAATGTTATTATGATGTTAATAGTACAAAGGCTTATATCTGACTGACTACAAAATGTGTTGAGAACAATAAAGTAAACTCTAGGTCTTCTAGGAAATTAGTAGCATCGTCGGCAGTATTCCTGGCTCAAGTTGGTGAAGTTGACTTTGAAGAATATACGTGATGTACTAGAGCAATCTTACCTCAAAATATCGTTATTTTAATGACATTAACGTTCTGTTCTTATTCAGCCTCATCAGTGGAGTAGATAAAGCACCATCTTGTCAATGAAACATTTCAGAACATATTTATAAGCACTGTTATTTTTCGATGTAACTTACGCTCCAAAAATGTTGACATTGTTTTCTTAACCACCCTAACAACCTGTAGATGTTATGTACTGACAAGGCTTTTAAATTATGCATTTCATATCAGAGTTCAATAAAATAATATTGGAGAACTGTTCTGAGCTTGCGCAGTAGGTAGGTGTGACTTTAGAGCCGTACTGCGATTGGCTAATGGAAGTTCCAACCGGTTCCTAAATTTTAGCTATTGAAACCCGAATAAAGCTTACATTTTAGCTCAAACAGAAAAGATCACGGTATCAAAAAACGAACGTGAATGGGTACATTTGAAGTATTGAGTTAAGTCTGCTCCTCAATTTTATACGCTTTTTTAAAGAAACGAAACGGTATAGGGTACCCTACCCTACAGGACCCTTCCTTTACTTTGCCTTGCGGGCCTGTATTTCCCACTTCCCTGTATAACATACATTCTGCCTCAGGGGAATCCTGGATTTCCACTTCTCACTAAAGTGGGCTTCAAGGCACTCTAGCATTCACCTTTATGCATACGTGGTAACAGTTGTATGCTGTAAATTCTATTCCTATATCCTGTCAAGTTAATGCGGATGACATGATCGAATTGGTATGTAAGGAAAGTGTTACCTTTTATCAGAGATAAAAGGCCTTTATACTCCATTTTACGCCCGTAGGACAGCATGATTGGTGCCGACAGCGACATATGTGTCGCCTTATTGCTAAAACCGCTAAATCCACTTCAGGAGAATTCTGAGGTAACGCTAAAGTTTGATATTGCTCACAGCAAATTAGGGTTTAAGATCCACACCAAACGGCTTGATGAATTTTACCATATTAGGTGTCCTTATATTCGCCTTGGTAGCACAAATTTTGCTTGAATCCTCTTAGTCACTGCAATTGGGTTGATTGTTTTTTGAGTGTCCTTGTTTATCTTAACAATTCTCGTAATGGGCGAGGAAGTATTGAGATCGCGAAAAAAGAAATCGAAATCTGGATATTACGTATTTAAATATTCGCTGACCGCTGATCTTTGGTCCCTCTATAACTTCGGAAGTATTTCTTGAATTATGATAAAATTTCAACACTATGCCAGGAACGGAAAGGCTTCGTAGGTTTTAAAAACCCATCCAGTGACGATGGATGTTCGGGCAAGAAACAGAACAAATCATTATTCAACGGTTTGGAGACGACTGCTCATTATCAGAAAAATTCTTGTAGGGGTTGAAAATTGTGGCATCTGTTAGGCACAGTTATCACACATAATCTCCAGACATTTACCACTGAAATACAAATCGATGTTCTTACCTCGTTATATGACATGTGTCTGTCTGTCGGTCTGTTTGTCTGTCTCTCCGCTAATCCTTGGCCTGTCAGTAACTTGGGAGGTACCGCTTTATGAGAGTTCCACACAAGGACAACAAAACTTTGTAGTTTGTGAAAATCGCTTCAGTGGATGCGGAGGAAAAGGCTAATAACCTAAAAAGATAAACATCACTCAAACTTCGTTCCTTGACGTTTCAGAGGATCCTGATCATTTTCACAATTTTTGGCAGAGGTTCAAAATTGGATGTTGGAGGTTGAAGGGGGTGTGGATGAGTATATGTCAATTTTTTTGAGCTAGCAGTTTCCACCCCCGGTAACTCTAGCTTACCTATTAGGCATATTAGATATCCTCATACATTCAACCTTAAAACCTGAATAGTAAACATATATCTTCGATAGACTTGACGGAACAAACTCTAGACCAAAATGAGACAATTCTGGAAATTATATTTAGTATGCTAGAAATCTGTTTCAAGTAGGTTGACACTGTAGGTCACATATAATTTCTTTGATCGATTTTTTCAATTATAATTCGATAGGTTACATAATAAAACAAACATAACATAATTTATCACCGAGTTGAGTGGAAAGTATACTGTAAATCTACTTGTAATTTTCTTTTGTTGTGTACCAGTAACCATGCTGGACAATTTAAAAAAATATCATTCAAACGCTCTTATTATACAGGATGTAAAATTAACAAACGACATCATTTAGTTGTCCGTGTCTCAGTTGAGAAATTCCACAGAACATTTTTTTAAAAACGTTCATTTCATTTTATACTTATGCAAAAATATCAAGCTAACGTATTTAGATATTTTCGAACACGCACGTATTGTCTTGGCAACCTCTCTCTTTGCAACTGAAAATTAAAGTACGCTGTAGATGTTGACTATACAGGGTGTTTCAGAACTATGGGATCAAACTTATAGGGGTTATTCAGTGTAACAGTAGAAAACATTTGAGTATAGGGACCCGGCGCTTGTGTGTTGTTATCGTTAAAAACGATAACAAAGATTGTTGTTTGTAGCTGCATTCCATATCGCCTTAGTCGTGCTATCGTATTTGTGAAGTTTGCCAGAATTTAAGAAAAATTAATAGATTTTAACGCATCTTACGGCCATAGTGCCGTAGTGAATCTTTTCCGGATATGGGTCCCTATACTCAAATGTTCTCTACTGTTACACTGAATAACCCCTAGATTTGATCCTTTAGTTCTGAAACACCCTGAATTGTGGATCAGTGTTGCCAGGTATAGTCGATTTATTTTCTGTGGATTTGTGCAAAGGTTTTCGGTAGATCATGATATTTTTCATTGAAGGGTAAACTAAAATCCAAAACTTGCTCGCGATTCAAAATAGATGAATAGAAGATGGAAGGCACTTTGTTTGAGCCACAGTCGGTTCCGAAAATTGGAAAATTGATGGGTGGGGGAAGGGTTTGGTTAGCATCAAATTCTGTTATTTGAAAAGTTGAAGAATGCAGGGTTTAACTGAATTTCACTAATCGAAAATTGAGGAGCGGGTGTGGGGTCAAGTGGCTCTATTCTTCTATTTCGTTGAATTATATCAGGAATATATCGTTTAAGAATTTGAAAAACGTCTTGCTAGATTTCACATAAAAATTGATAGTTAGGTGGAATAGGACTAATATCGGTAGATCTATCGAAAAGTTGGCGTCAAGTAGGTTGACTCTACACTTCGCACGCAACCTCGTCATCGGTACATAAATGACTATGTTCAACAAAAGTTGGACTCTATCAAAATAAGAAAGTGCTGTTGATCTTATGTCCTGGATAGGAGACAGTTGCTTTGCTTTCGTTCGTTGTTCCAGATGCAAAGCTGGTGCCAAAACAACACGAAACATCTATCTGTGGTTAACTGGGTGGCTGGACGAAAGCAGCCTGTTTACGTTAGAAAAAGTTATTTACGAGCATGTATAACAAAGAAATCAATCGGATTAAGTTCGTCAAACAGGTCCGTACAATTAGTCCATACCATCATTCCCCTGCCCTACCCGTAGCTCCGTCGCGTCGCCACTCTCCAATATCTGAGGACATGATGCTTCACACGCGGCAGAGCGCCCAGTCATGCAAGTCACATACCAACGCCGGCACGCTGGCCGCAGCCGTTGGAAGTTTCAACGACAACTGTACAGGGCGGTCTATGGTATGTAATATATGTCTAATACGTACGTAGCATTATCGGGGTTGGAAGTGTATTAAATATACGTATACATTAACATCAGAAAATTGTGATACACTCCCCTACAACCGTCATCACTTAGTTTTTTACCCCTAAAAGATTTCATGATCAGGGCCCTCTGAAATATCAAAATCGAAATTTTTTATTTCGATTTTAGCCTTTAATCGCCACTGAACCGATTTTCAAAAACTATAATGCTTTTCGGTCTTAAAAAATTCGACCGGTACTTCTGAAATTATAAACGGGCCAAGGATTAGCGGACAGACAGACAGACCGATAGACCGGCAGATTGACAGACCGATGGAAATGAGCGACATGGTTTTTCATGACTTACATACGTTTCATATAACATACATAAAATGCATTATCTCAATTTTTCAATTTTTCGCGACTGCAATACTTCCTCGCCCAGTAGCGTAGGAAGTAAAATCCGTAAAACTGGCACCGCCGCTGTGGATTGTGTGCAAGCGTGCGTCCACGAGATATTTGCACTCATCTGTCGAAATGTGAATAAGCCGTCAAGGTTTAAAGGGCACAAATTATTGTCCGGCCCATCGAGTGGCCGCGGTGTCCAACGTTGCCTGTTGAATAATTGATAAGGGCGCTAAGCAATGCCTACGATGTTTTTGCGGCCATTTGGTAAACTAGGATGAAAATAGTATACGATTTAAAAGCCTATGTGATGTGTGGAAAAGATACAAAGATATGTTGAAGTATAGTGTAAGGAAGACTCGCAGATGCTTAAGATGTCAAGTTAGAATACGGATAAGTCTGCCGGAATTGGCGAAACCTGAATAAAGTAGTTTGGTTACTTGCTATGGTTTCATTTATTGATCAGCATATTCAGCTAAGTACAGATCCACAAAGGTTAACGTTTTTGCTGACTTGCAGTGTTGTATATAGGGTCCAGCCGAACCATTCGCAATAACTTCGACTTTGACCGCATTCGGCTAAAGGATACATATCTCTACTGAAAGAAGATTCCTGATAATTTTGTATGCTGAAGGAGTACGCATAATCCTGACCAGCAAATTCAGGAATAATTGAACCATCTTTCAACGTTGCAATATACATTCCAGTCCGCTCTTTTTTGTTTAAATTTATTAGAAACTAAGAAATATCTTTTCGATACCAGTTAAAGTATAGGTCGTAGACGGTCTCTGACTGTCAAACGCGGCGGATCTCGTAGGCGGTGTCAGAATGTGTGCGTATTGCATGCACACGTGCTCCCTCGCCGTTTGGCGTCCCTTCTTTTTCCTGTTTCCTCCTATAGCCCCACGGTACCTCATTGGTGTTTAGGGCATTCAGACGTTTAATCCTACAGAACAAACACACGAAGATAGAAAATCTATTTTACTTTATAGTTACAGAACATCAGGTTTACTGAATGATTTTTTTTTGTTAATACGATTTTTGAACTGCCTAAGGTTAGTAGAACTGGGAAAAGCTTCCTCTTATAGATTGTTCCACAATCTATACACCCTCGGGACAAAGGAGCGGTCGTATCGGCCAGTTCTGGATGTACGAAGTTTGACACGGTTAGGATGGGACACCGAAGTCAGACGGGTCTGTCTGGCAGGCACATCGCGCGACGGCATCATGGAAGAGAGCTCTGAGGAGCAAAGACTGTTGGTGTAGCGATAGAAAAGAGCTAGATCGCCGACGGCCCGCCGGTGCGAAAGAGTCCCGAGACTGTCTGTTAGAGAAGAGTCATCCATCAGTCGGACCGCCCTCCTCTGGACAGCATCGAGCATGGACAATGTAGTCGGGGCGGCAGCACCCCAAATGTGTGAGCAATACTCGAGGCTAGGCCTTATCTGGGCCTTGTATAGAGTGAGAAGGTCATGCGGAGAAAAGTACTTCTTAGCCCTAAACAAATAGCCTAGCTTTTTCCCAGCAGCTGCAGCTATTGAAGAGATGTGTTCGTGCCAGATCAGGTCCTCGGTGATCTGGACTCCGACCAGCCGAAATGAATGGCTCTTTGGTAGAACTTGGCCGTCCATCGAAACTGTATGAGCGCTAGGACGCTTCTTGTTCGTCAAAGTATAGTACTGTGTTTTGCAAAGATTGAACTGTACAAGATTGTTGCGTCCCCCAGCAGTGATAGCCTTCAGGTCTCTTGTCAGAGAAGAAGTCGTCGCTAGTCTTCTTTTTTCCAGCTCAGCGGCAGAGATCGGCTTGTCACTCTGAATTCCTGCATGTAGAGTGCTGTCATCAGCGAAGCTGTGGATTGGGTTGATCGTGCAGGAAAGGAGGTCGTTGATATGTAAGAGAAACAGAGTTGGAGCCAAGACCGATCCCTGGGGAACACCCGCGTTGACGTTGTGGGATGAAGAGGAGAATCCGTCAATTACGACGGATATCTTGCGGCCAGAGATAAAGTCAGCCACCCATCTGCAAAGCTTTTCTGGGAGACCATAGGATGGAGGTTTGCTTAAGAGGGCAGCGTGCCACAGCTGATCGAACGCTTTCGTGATGTCAAGAGCAACGACATGAGCCTCACCATGAGACTGGATGAGTTTACTCCACAGTTGCGTGACGTAAGCTAGGAGGTCCCCTGTGGATCGTTGATGCCGGAAACCGTACTGCCTGTCGCTAATCAAGCTGTGACGTTCGAGGTAGTCCAGAAGCTCGCGATTTATGCACATCTCCATCACATTACTTATAACAGAAAGCAGAGCTATAGGCCTGTAGTTGTAAGGGTCGGTCTTAGATCCTTTTTTTGGGATGGGCTGTACATGAGCAAATTTCCAGTTTTCTGGGAAGGTGCCGGATTCATAAGATATCTGGAAGAGACGCGAAAGAACTGGAGCAAGCTCCGCTGCACATCTCTTCAGTGCAATGGCAGGAATCAAGTCCGGACCAGATGCTTTGTTGATGTCGAGCGACAAGAGCACTCGTGTTACGGTCTTATGCCTGAATGTTACCTCCCGCATACTGTGGGAAACC